AAGTTTCAATATCTCGCAAAGTAAAATTAACAAAAAATAAAGCGCAATTACACTAGAATACAAGGATAGATGTGGATCCAAATTTATGAATTTCTCAACTTAAATCATCTACAATGTTGACTGATTTGAGAAATTGATTAACGCTGCCTCCAAACGCTATATGCAGCGATTGAGGAAATTCTGTCCACATAGCCACCAGCCATTGCCCTTCGCACATTGGATTCAAACATCTTCGGGTTATCCCTCAACACTGCAGCTGCATCAGGAGAGAAGGTCCTCATGTGTCGAATAATTTGCAATCAAGAAATAACAATTTCATATGTGCAAATAAAAGAGGATGGTGAATGACGCTGCTTGCATATTCAAGAAAATACTCAAAAGTTTTCACTGTCTCCTTTCTTAAAAGTATATCAATTATATTAAACAACAAGCGAACACTCAGAATGTGAGAGCAATGAATCACCGACGAATGGACAAGCACAAAGGCGATAGTGGGGCCACAATCCCATAAGCTTCCAATTGTTAGGAAAGACATGACATGTTGCAATATTAAAGCCATCATGCATGCCAAGCAAGGTCCACAAAAGAATAAAGAAATCAGCACCATGTGTAAGTGAAGATGATCAGCAAGTTAACAAAAATTTAACACGAGCAACAAGTCTTCCTGCCTGATTCACATATTTGCATTCAATAGATGTTTTCCCTTTTAAAAAAAATATTTCATGCGTCATGTTTGACAAAATTACCAGTAAAGGAAAAACCATTTTAACCCGGCAGTTACCTTGTTCATCATATTTCACCGTCCAACTTGGGGTAGACACTCCTTCTCCCGACCAAAATCATGATATCTGAGCTGAAACATCACATAATATAAAAGAATTCAGACCAAGACAATAGCTATTCAGCATGAGCAAATATAAGAGTTTCCAATTACCCAAGGAGCATGCAAAATACGAGCTTCAACTTGAGCCAGCTTCTCACTTATTTTAATTCCAAATTCTTTGGCATAAGGGTCCTCAGCATACGCATTATGATGTACAGTCTGACAAGTAAATATGTCAATTAGTTGCAGGAATGTTGAAGATTAAACTGGTGAATATCATCTGTTAGCTACTATAAGTTACTTGGCTCAAAGCCCAACAAAGCAAAAGAATCGGACAAGTACATAACTACCTTAGGCCCACACATGAACTACATGATATTGACAAAGCCAAATGGCTATACATCTGTACAAGCTATCATATGAGACATTTACCATAACAAATGAGATATAAAGGTAGCATCAACTACAACAAAAACAAGGAATACATACATACATACAGAAATGCACAGTACTCTCTAACATTAACAAAAGTATGTGCCAAACACCAGGCACAATTATAATAACCAACAACAAAATAACAATATTCTTCTCTAATTTCATAGTTCAGTCATCATATATTT